ATAAGCCCCTACTGTTTATATTTCATTGATTGTAAATTATTCATCTTAAATAAACATATAATTGTGGCTTAAAATAATCATCCACACTTAAATATGATAATATTAAATATTTTCCCTGTTATTTTATATTAATCATATTAATCATATTAAGCATTTTTAATTGTTTGGCAAAAATTAAGTTTACTTTATTTTAATATATCACTGCTTCAGCTCTCTCAACCCCTCCTCCAAATTACATTTATAACTAGTTATTAATTTTCCTCAATCTATATATGTGTATTTATCTTATAGTTTTTATTAATTATTCTTTTAGAGAATCTCCAATTAAACTTGAAGCTAATGTCAATTCAAAATTTGATACATGGGCATATAAAACTAAACTGATGGAAAATATTGATTTGTTTGCCAAAGATCACTTTCCAGATATTAAGCACAGAAAAGAAATAACATTAGCTTTAAATGTATGTACAGAAATTAATATAGAACAGAAAATTGGTGCTAGAATTGTAAGACGGAGTTTAGAAAATAATAAAAATACAAATTTATTCAAATTTAATAATCAAGTATTAAAAGGATTTGCTATTACATGGTACAAGCAAACTGTTGTACATTATGTAGATTTCAATAAGACTGGTACGTATTGTTTCCTTTTATTGTCTAAAAATTTTAARCTAATAAAAACATTGCTTTATTTTTTTGAATAGGTTCATCTGGTGTAAGTCTATTGAAAAAGCTGCTGTCTAATAAAAATTTAGTTGTCAACATAACTGATGCTAAATTAAGTTACAAAATTATCTCTCAATGTTGCAATATTAAACCGGTTTGCAAATTTAGAGACCCTTTTGTAGCTGATTGGCTTATAAATGGTCAACAAAAAAATTCATTAAATAATTTGGTAATTTACTCGTATATATANTTTAATTACAGTTAGTCGTGTATAATTATAATTAAATACATTGAACTGAATTTGTTCTTGATMTAGATATACAACATATTTAATGTATTATATAGCCTAGTGTGTAACATTGAAAATTAATAGATCAGTTAAATTATTAATTATCTAATTAATAAGCAGTTTTCATTTAGCATTGTTAGTTTAAATATTCAAGAGAATACTGAATTTACTATTATTAAACCTATAAATAACACATTTTTTATGGTTTAGTAAGGCTGTTTTATTTGGTATTTTAATTTTGAAATGAGTTATGAGCATTTTGAAATTKCAATATTTTATTCAAATATAACTTCAAAATAAAAGAATTAAAACAAATGAATCCAAATTAGAGTGGCTAAATATAAATTTGTTGTTACAATCCTGTAAGACAGATAAACATAATATGTAGGCGTGGCTCGGTCCTCTTTGTTTTTACAGAATACATTTTTGTTCAATATTAATATTGAATATATATTTAATAACACTATTTCTTACTTTAATTAAATTTTATATTATAGAGAGAACTGGGCCTTAAATCAGCATGTTGGGTTGATGATAACAATGAAGAAGAAGATTTAGATACATCTGTGAAGATACGTCCTACATCAAGAGATGTTACAATCATTGAAAATAGTCAAGAAAGCAACAAATCAATGAAATCTTTGGTGAATGTTTCTGTTCAAAATTTATCAAATTCACCAAGAAGTGTTGAGTTATTTGATGAATCTGATTGTGCAAAAGATATATCAGAAGAAATAACTAATAAAGATTATAAGCGAGAAAGTTTGGATCTTTTTGAAGGATCATTTGAACATACTAAATTTAGTATTACTGTAAATGTTAGTCAAAAATATAACTCAGATAATCTTAGTAACAAATCAATAAGTGATTCATATTTAGCAGAGTTAATTAACATCAAGACACCCAAAGAATTAGAAGAGAAATGGGATTGTAATAACGGAGGAGAAATTATTTTGGAAATGAGTCAAAGAGATTTTGGGACTAAAAAGCGAAAAAGAGAAGAAGACRGTCATACAGAAAACGACCATTTAAATGATATTTTTATAGAACCTCGTCCAAAATATAAAAAAACTGAGGAACCTTCAACAAGTTACAGTAAACCTGAGATAAATAACTCTTTTGAAAGCACAATGTTTCCAGATTCAATAAGAATTGATACACAACTTGATCAACTATTGAATGCCAATGGCAAAACAAATATAAATTCAAACATAGTATCCACCGAAATGAGTGAAAGTGTAATGCACCTAGCATTTCAAAATTCTTTTAATTCAATGTCAAATACGATAATATCTCCAAAGAAAAGTAATGTTGTTATGACATGTAAAGATTTAGTTATATCCGATTCTGAAGACATGATTGCTGGTTCCCAAGATACTTCATCCAGTGGACCGTCTCCTCGCAAGTATGATAATGTGGTAGCTACATATACCAGGGGTGGCCAATTTGCGACTCTTGTCATTGTAAATTCCGGCACACGTTTATTAAAAAAAAAACCAATATTTACTTATTAACGATAAAATAAGATAAAATTATAAAATATATTTATAAACATTTTGGTTCTTGATATCATTATATTTATCCACGTGGCTTATGAACTTATTCACGTCGGTCATACCTAACATATACCTTGTTYCAAAAGAGAAGATACCAGTTGGCCACCTGCTAAACCGGATTTGCTACGTAGGTCTGGCTTTTTTTCTTTTGGAATAAGGTATAGATGTAAGAGTGTAACCAGACCTTTTAGTTAGGAGGCTGAATTCTATATATTCTTAGATTATAAAATAAGATATCATGAAGCTGTGTTTTCACAGTACTCTTCCATTGATTTATTCTAAGTGAACAGAAGTTGATTACCCAAATATGTTCATTGTTTAGTATGGATAGTAATTTTTAACGATTTCATGTTTATAATCAGTGGCGTATTCAGAGGGGGAGTTT